CCTCCACATTGCCCCACCTCCACTTTGCCCCACCTCCACATTACCCCATCTCCACTTTGCCCCATTTCCACATCGCCCCATTTCCACTTCGCCCTGTCCACGCTTGAGGGTGTTCAAGCACAAGCCTCTTCAAAAACTGGTCGGGAGAGGTGACCGACACCCCATTAGGCCCTATGACCGATCTAGTCCAAAATTCGTAAAGAAGAAATTACTAACACTGCACTCAGTAGAATTACGTACATGTAGCTCAACGTATACTCCTTCGTCAATACAGGGCCCTGAACTGATTGACAGTGATGATGAAGTTTATCCGGCATGTCCCGGGACATTCTCAGACATTATGTAGGTCTATGCTGGATTTTATGAGCTGAAATTGCACCGGTACGTGCGTTCACTACCTACGCAGGCCAACTATCCCCCAGGTTGCTATTTGGAGAACACTCGTCTTTCCCTCGTTTGGGGGAAACATGCATGTTGCCTCCACAAGCTTGAAGTTGTACGTTTTCCCTATCCGGATGAATTTTGACTTGACTCGCACATTAGGCCATGTAAAAAAATAATTTGTGATCATCCTTTGCCAATATTAAAGGGAGGGTGGGGGAGGTTTTGTTTTTTTGGTAAGAAATGTCCACGTGTTTAAATGACGGCAAGTTTTTGTAAGGTACTAGTACAGTCGAACCCTGTTATTAAGACGTCCTTAGACGGCAAGGTTTTGTAGGGTACTAATACAGTCGAACCCTGTTATTAAGACGTCCTTTGACGGCAAGGTTTTGTAGGGTACTAGTACAGTCGAACCCTGTTATTAAGACGTCCTTTGGACTTGGTCTATTTACCTGGTTATAACAGGAACCTTGTATTTTTAGTATTAAAACCAGTGAAAAATAAAGACATGGGAATGCGCTTATTCTCAGACTGATAAGTTTGGGATTGTTTCATGTGTAATTTTTCGCCGCGTTTTTACATTTTCCCCCGTTTTTTGGAAAATGAAAAAGAAATACAAAACTGGGTTGGAGGCATGCTGGAGAGTCAGGCAGGGAATGATCACCGATTTATTTTTACATGGCTTTACACAGACTCCTTTGTATGTAGCTTTTGCAGACAGCCTGTCTGGTAGCTTACACCAACACATGTAAGTCTCATTCACATCTGCAAGAGTACCAGTCTGTCCATCTGTTCATGGAAAACTGAGGACAAGTCGGGTTTAAGTTCAAGTTTTGGCTGTGGTGTGTATTTGTGTAACTTGTGCCCATTTTCTGGACTTCGTTGCTGGCACGACAAGTCTTGAGAGTGAGAGNCCCCACCCCCACTTTGCCCCATCTCCACATTGCCCCATCTCCACTTTGCCCCATTTCCACATTGCCCCATTTCCACTTCACCCTGTCCACGCTTGAGGGTGTTACAAGCACAAGCCTCTTCAAAAACTGGTCGAGAGAGGTGACCGACACCCCATTAGTCCAAAATTCGTAAAGAAGAAATTACTAACGCTACATTCAGTAGAGCTACTACGTACATGTAGCTCAACGTATACTCCTTCGTTAATACAGGGCCCTGAACTGATTGACAGTGATGATGTTTATCCGGAATGTCCCGGGACATTCTCAGACATTATGTAGGTCTATGCTGGATTTAGTATGAGCTGAAATTGCACCGGTACGTGCGTTCACTACTTACGCAGGCCAACTATCCCCCAGGTTGCTATTTGGAGAAAACTCGTTTTTCCCTCGTTTAGGGGAAACATGCATGTTGCCTCCACAAGCTTGAAGTTGTACGTTTTCCCTATCCGGATGAATTTTGACTTGACTCGCACATTAGGCCATGTAAAAAAATAATTGGTGATCATCCTTTGCCCATATTAAAGGGAGATTAGGGGGGAGGTTGGGGGGGGGTTGGTAAGAAATGTCCACATGTTTTGAAATGACGGCAAGTTTTTGTAGGGTACTAGTACAGTCGAACCCTGTTCAAGTATTAAGAGGTTCTTTGGACTTGATCTATTTGCCTGGTTATAACAGGAACCTCGTATTTTTAATATTAAAACCAGTGAAAAATAAAGACATTGGAATGCCCTTATTCTCAGACTTAAGGGTAGGCTTGGGATTGTTTCTTGTGTAATTTTTCCTCGTTTTTTGGAAAATAAAAACAAAACTGGGTCGGAGGCATGCTGGAGAGTCAGGCGGGGGATGACCACCAATTTATGTTTTTTACATGGCTTTACACACACTTTTGTAGCTTTTGCAGACAGCTTGTCTGGTAACTTACACCAACGCATCTAAGTCTCATTCACATCTGCAAGAGTACCAGTCTGTCCATCTGTTCATGGAAAACTGAGGACAAGTCGGGGTTAAGTTCAAGTTTTGGCTGTGGTGTGTATTTGTGTAACTTGTGTCCATTTTCTGGACTTCGTTGCTGGCACGACAAGTCTTGAGAGTGAGACAGTCATCGCAACATTGTTCAGAAACATCATTCACATTCATGAGTCACGGTCTTTTCCTTCCTAGCCATAGAGTCACCAAGTTGTTCAAACAGGAGCGTTGGGCCTGCCTAGCTGATAGTGGTTCAGTCTATGGTAAGCTTTTTCATGTTTTGGCCATCGTGGCCATGATTTCCCTGAAGCCTATATGTACCCCCAGCATTAGTCTGAGTAACTTGGACCCTACAAATCACCTTTTTTAAACATTTGGACATGGTTGGGCGATAGTAGGGTTCAAGTTACTCGGACTACCCAAGCACTGGTGCTTTCCAGCTACGGTGCTCAATCATGTCGATCAATCCAGTGGTCCCATATTCTAATGCGACAGACCCCACACTTTGGGATAGCAAGAGCCTAAAGACCGCTCGCGAGACAATTCTCTCCTCAGAACCAGGGTTGATGATTTTTGTTTACATTTGTAAATAAAAGAATAATGATAACTAAACTAGAAAAATTCGGATTTTTCTATTTAGGCCTCAGCCAAAGAATTAGTTTGTTTGTTTTTTCATTTAAATCAGATTTTAAGATTTTCATAAAAACTGGAGACAATTTGGGTTAAGTGTGTATGTGTGTAGGCCTAGATGTTCCAGAAGAGATTCTGATTTAAATTGAGAAATTTTAATCAAGTGGTTTGATTAAAATCACAAACCAGCATAAGCCCAGGTCACTTCATGCTACACATGTACATGTATGTAGCACCTAGTTTCCCATGTACCCAGAGAGAACACAGTCCTGGTATACATGTACATGTAGGTTTTAACAATATTAGCGTTTACAGGAATTTATGTGCATGTACCAGGAAATCTTACCTAATAACGTGAAATATGCCACGTGTCACATGTACAGTTCATTTATTTACATTGTATTTTACATGATATGTACATGCAGGTGCAACGGCTGGTACATGTACATGTATTTTATCTTGCTCTTACAGTATGTGTGTATTTATGTTATAAAAGGTATTTACCTTTCCTGGATACTCACAACCATCATACTCAATAATTTCCGTCAATTAATCTCCTACACCAAAACTACACGTACAAAGTACTTGTTTATTAAAAGAGGAGTTGTCAGCATCTGCACTACATGTACTTGAAAAGGTACAAATGTATACATGTATGTATGTTTCAGAAGTTGTATGCAGTGTATAATTGTATAACATTCTCTAGGCTATCCCTTGTCTGTTCTGATTGGCTAAAAGTTTTGGTTTATTAACCGGGACTTGGTCATTCATTAAAAGTGTGATGTGTGCATGAACAAATGGAATACATGTATATCACTGGTCCTCCACATAACAGTCATACAGACATAACAAAAATGTAATGTGTGTGACCGTTATATTTTTCTTTATTCATAAAGTTCAAAAAAAGCAAATTCCTGTTTTATCTGAGTAATATCAAAGCTATATGAAACTTACTTATAATCATGATAATATAAAGTACATGTATGACCTCTTTGTTTGACAGTTAACCCTTTTTATTGAAACCTTTATGCATTTTTGTTGTAACGTGAGTAACGTGTGCTCTGCAACAAATCACAGATTTGGCTAGACTCCCCTCCCCCCAAAAAAATAATTTTTGTTTCACTTCGTGATAAAATTAGTTGAAAATATTCCGAATAAAAATATTTGTTTCCTCACTTAATAAAAATTAACACAGCATGTTAACATTACATGGGAATTAAAAAACACCTTTGGGGTGAAATTCCCCAAGATGAGTCATTTTTTACAAGAATCGACCTTTTTTAACATTTAAAACAAGTTTTACACTTTTTCTGCAAAACGATAACTTCAAAAATTTTATTACATGAATGAAATAATATTTATGCAGAGATTGTTTGAAATTTTAGTGCTTCAGACTCATTTTCCTGAGAATTGCCTCTTCCTAGATGTTCATCTTACTAACAGTGCCCTCTCTTGTTTGGAAAAGCATGATAAATTTGATTATCAAAGTGCACCTTCCTGTTGACTTACTAACTTCAAGAAGATTTCAGTTTTCGTGTACATGTGTGCGCAGAAAGTGGTAGAACAAATTGCATTGCATAAATCATGAAAAGAATCATTTACACATGCCATTCATGCAGAAAATCCAAAAGGCTTATTTAAATCAGAGCAAATCTGCTTGCATTGACCACAAAATATCATGCCCACCCATGTGTTCTAATACATACATGTACATGTCATTCCCACTGCTCATCAATACTAGGAACTGAAGCGCTCACAGAAGGGATTTGCCATTTAAAATGTGCAAAACCTGCAAAAATTACAAATACATTGTACACCCTCTGTGTGACGTGGCTGGGTTGCTGCTTGGTTGGAAAGGTGGCTGCACCAGCCCTGGCACAATTCGGATTGAATTATCTAATAGAAGCCATACAACAAACAATCCACAGGTGACTTTGAGCGCTGCAAGTACAAGTGCCTTGTCGGCACAGTTGAAGGGCATATACTGTGTCTTCCTTGTTCTACCCTGGGGTACATGTATGTGTGTGTCTGGAATATTCTTGTCAGCGCGATCACTAAATTGCATATGAATGTTAGATTACTCATGGTGATCCCAGGTGGATCTTGCTTGATTATTCTGCGATCCCTCGGAGTACTCTTTGTGATCCTGGTTGGATCTTGTTGGATTACTCTTGGTGATCCTAGGTGGATCTTGTTGGATTACTCTTTGTGATCCTAGGTGGATCTTGGTGGATTACTCTTGGTGATCCAGGTGGATCTTGGTGGATTACTCTTGGTGATGTTACATGTAGGTGGATCTTGGTGGATTACTCTTTGTGATCCTAGGTCGATCATAGTGTATTACTCCTGGTGATTCTAGGTGGATCTAATTGGTACAGTGTACATGTATATCTTGGCAATCTTACAAGTAGGTAGGCGATCCTACACGTGATTTACACAATAATCAATTGATTTGAATTGTGGATTAAATCAGTGACTTGATTAAATCAATGTGATCTAAATTGGCCAGTCTGGCTCACAGAACCCCCCAATGATTCTGGTATATTAGATTATGCATGAATCATTAACTCTGCTGATATTGAAGTTTCCAGAACTTCAACTAGAAGACCGGGATTGTTCAAAATCAACATGGCATCAAAGCCAGTCTGTGTAGAGGACTTCGAACCATACCTCAAGGCGAACGTGTCTGACTTCGTCTGGAGGTATTACAGATCGGGAGCTCATGGTGAACAGACACTGAGAGACAATCCACGGGCCTTTCAAAGGTAGGAGCCCTCTTTGTGGCTATGTAAACAAGGGCCTACATTGGCACAGTTCAGATGGCACTATCATTCTATAAAAGCCATACAAAATTATCACCTAAAGGTGATCTTGATAGCAGCAAGTACAGGTGCCCAGCCGACGAAGTCGAAGGGGTATGCTGTTTCTGTCTTATTCTTCCTTGGGTACATGTGTGTGTCAAGAATATTCTTGTCAGCACAATGAATTGAATATAAACTTCAGATTACTCATGGTGATCCATGGGTGGATTTTGCTGAATTACTCTATAAACCTACATGTAGGTGGGTGTTCGTGTACTAGCCTTTGTGATCCTAGGTGGATCTTGGTGATCCTAGATGGATCTGGGTGAATTACTCTTGAGGATCCTACATGTAGGTGGATCTAGGTGCATTTCTTTTGGTGATCTTAGGTGAGTTTTGGTGGTTTACTCGTTGTGATCCTAGGTGGATCGTTGATTTATTCCTTTTGGTGACCCTTGGTGGGTCTTAGTGGATTACTCTTGGTAATCCTAGGTAGATCTTGGTAAATTAATCTTTTGATCCTAGGTGGATTACTTTTGGTGATCCTACATGTAGGTGGATTACTCTCTGTGATCCTAGGTGGATCTTAGTTACTATTTGTGATCCAGGGTGAGTCTTGGTGAATTACTCTTGGCATTCCCAGGAAGTCTATTGAATTTGGGGCAATAGGTCACGGTCCCAATGACTAAAACAACATAAGCCTTGTCAGTGTTGAAGAATTATAGTAGTGTGATTTGGCATGGGATTACAGGACATTTGTGTTTGGTAACTCTTCATTCTTATTTGTTTATTAAAAAAATACCAATATATGAAAGGCTGTGTTCTGGTTAATTTTCCTGGACAAAGGTATCGTCTTCGACCTCGATGTTTGAGAGACGTGTCTCAACGAGACACTAGCACCTCTATTCTTGGTCATCGGCTTGCGTTCCCCGTCGGGGTGTCTCCAACAGCCGCTCACTGCTTTGCACACCGAGATGGAGAAGTTGCAACTGCCAAGGGTAAGCTTTAACTTGCAACATGCCATGAATTTCCATTTATCAGAAAACTGAGTTCAGCCCCCTAAATTCAGGTTTTGAGCAAGGAGATACCAGGATTTGTAGCATCTCTCTTAATCATTCATACCCTACCATTCGTACCATTCATCAGACCTCGCAGCCCCCAATTGACTTTGAATGTGAGGAATTCAAATGTCTACAATAAACAAATATCCCCTTCCAATCAATTTTGTGTATGTACCTGAGTGATATGAATCCAAAACAACCTAATTTTAGGGTCTTATACTGGGCCTAGTTAGGTGCTTAAGAGGCCTGTCAAGCTGCTTCTTCATACCTTTCTTAATCGCACCTCATGCCAAGTCCTAGCAATATACATGTAGTTTGACCATGAGTCACCTCTTTATACCAATTCTGCGCACATTACTCTCCCTCACAAACAACCCTAGTCAAAGTTTCAAACCATCATTTGGAAATCACATAGTCCCAGATTTACCATTGATTGCCATGCACTCTTTCTGCAGTCCTGTGCAACTACCATATTCAGGTTGATGGTTCACTAAAACTTAACTTTCTACTTACCAGATAATGTCACAAGTCAATGACTCCAATCGCAATTTCTGGCAACGTGACTTAACTTGCAACTGGTAATGGCTTGATTTGAGTCACTGGGAGCAAATTACTTCACTCAAGTCCCTCATCAGAAGACTAGACTCAAAGAAAGTTAATTAGACTCATTTTCCAACGAAACATATTTTTGAGAAAGAGTTGCAATGACATACAGTGTAGGTGTCAATTTATCATGCTCATATCATGTCGACAATATGGTACCTTCAGTACATGTACATGCATATCCTAAACAATAGTCGTCAAAGTCTGTTGTCCTTGCTCCGTGGTACAGCAACCATCTGCAAATTATTGAGCAAGGCTCTTTGTTGAATGCTGGTTAAAATTTATGTCCACATAGGGCCTGACTTCCAGCTACTGTCTTTATTAGATTTGACTTGATTCCGAATACCACTTTGGTTGGATGGAAATCTCTGGCATTTTTTATATTTTCATGCAGAGTAATGTGTCACCAAGTGTAGGAGCCCAGATGTGAATTAAAAGGCCCAAAATATAAGTTTTTCTCTGGTGTTCATACCGGTATGTTGCATTGTGATAAATTATTTTTGACTCCAATTGACTTGAGCTAAATACTTGACAACTCAACTCCATTGCACACTGTGACTCGACTAGTACTTGACCAAACTTGAGTCACTACATTGAGTGACTTGACTCAACCCGAGTCACAACATTTAGTGACTTATTTCAATTCTGACTCTTACTATTAGTTAATAAATGTAGAATATTTGTAACAAACAATACAACTATCGCTCGGGGTTTGAAAAACTGACTAGATATCTCTGGAGTCATCCATGGTTGAGATGACATTGGTTGCATTTAAAATACTTGTCATGAAACTTGCCCTATAACCTGAATATGAGAATGTCACACCATGGTTCTGTGCTTTCAGGCTGTAGTTATGAAATGTTTGGTGTTATTTCCAGGTGTATCAAGTGTTGGATCTGCCATGATTCTCAGCATGTGGTCCAACAGGACTCTGGAGGACGTCGCAGCCTCTGTGCCCCCCGACACGCCCTTGTTGCTTCAGCTCACCATCCTGCGTGACAGATCCAGAGTTGAGGCAGTAATTAGACGAGCCGAGGCAGCGGGCTTCAAAGCGCTGGTAGTAACGGTAGACGAACCAATGCTGGGGAAAAGGGCCCATTACCAACGCAGGGAATTTGGTGTGAGGGAAATTCTGTAAGTTTAATCTCATAAGTGGTTATGGCATTAATGGCGCACAGTACATATACTTAAGTTTCAGTGGTTCCGTATGAGTGGGTGCAGCTGTAGATGAAAGATCGTACCTATCAGTTGGGAACCAGCAGTAGTGTGGCAGTGCGTAAATGGATACTGAAAAAAAAAACATTGGAAAGGTCTGGAAGGATTTCAATCATTTCATCAAGGAGTCATTCTTGATGTACGAAAGGGACATGTCAAACCAATTGTTAGAGCTTCGGAAAACGTGTCTAAATATCATACAAAATATCCAACTCCAGTGATGTACATGCAGTGCCTTGAGTCTGAGCCTTGGCCTTAAGGTTGCCTTGAGGCTTGATTTTTGGGACTTGGCCTTAGCCTTAAGGCTTGAAGGCAAAAGTCTTGGCCATGACCTTTGCCTTGACATTGTTATGATGTCATCCAGGGACAGTTTATCGCAAGGCTAGTTCATTGCAAAGGTTTTTGTGTTCAAATTATGAACCCAGAACTTACTCACTGAAAAAAATTTCTCGAAGCAGGTTGATAGCTTGCTTATTGCTATGTACATGTACTTAAACAACAATGAATCACCAAAAGAGGAGAAAAATTTATTCCAGTAAAGTCTTCAACAGCAGGAGTTTCTTTTGTACAAACCAATGAAACATTGAGGCTTGCTCCCTGGGATGACATCACAGTTCTGCTCATAAATATAGAAATACTTAGTAGCTTAAAAACCCCAAAAGCACTGCAATACTGATTGAAAATGAGATAATCTGAGACACATCTATAGATGCAATTTGAAGAACAATTCCATTGCAGCTACCCTTTAAGTTAATCATGTTTTGCCATGGGGGAGGGAAACACCCTAGATTTGTACACTTTTATACAGCATGTCACCCAAAAGCTGCAGCCCTAATGGTAGCATTCAGTCTCTCCCAAAGATAATACATGCAGTTAAAAGTGGTATCAAATTGAAGCTGACAGTGTTTGTACTTATACCACAAATTACATTTGAAGCTATCATGCTACAATGCAGTGACATTTTCAATTACATGTATGTAGCAGAACTTTGTCCAATGGAAGCTCAAATAGTTTATCTTTCAAGCGTATGCAGTCACTGAATTTAAATCCTAAATTATCACACAGCTTTTTTTCTGTACTGTTTGTGGATTTTTTAAACACTAAACTTGATGAAACTGGCTAAAGAATGAGTAATCTCTTATTTCAGATGACACTGGTTGTTTCATCAATTGTGCAGCGAGTTTGTTTGAAATAAAACAACTTCAGTTCAAACTGTGCATTTTCAGTCCATAACAAAGTGATCCCATTTACTTCTGTATTAACCCTAACTGCCCATAGCCCATCAAACTCCAACAGCAGGTTTTGCTAGGTTTTGGCTGGTTTGGTACCATACCGTAAGCACATGGTGTTGGACTATGCTAGATTTGGTACAGTAGGCCCAGGGTGATGGTGTTTAATTTTGGCTGAGCTGGTACTGTCAGGTTAGCATCTTGGTTACAACAGTGGGTGTTGGACTCTGCTGGGTGAATGCACACCGGTGACTCCGGCTGGCTGGCCAGTACT